ACTCAACAATTTCGACGGCATTCCCGGAGGCGTCCTCTACCGCAGGCTTGGACGCGGCATCATCACCAATTTCCTCCTCTTCGTCACTGCCCTCGGCCATCAGCAGGGAGTCTTCCAAATCTGGCCTCGCGACACCTTCAGGGAGGGGAACTCTGGGGTCTGGCTGAAGGGGAGGAAGACCATAGGATGCCGGATCAAAGGCCTTCGGGTCCACCCCAAAATGCCGGGACAGCCTTCGATATACGAGGGCCTGAGTAAAGTACTCACCCCCGTCATAATACTCTTTCCCCTTTCGGGCCAACCACATGGCGCCTGGGCCTTTCACCCATTCGTCCACCGAAGCTTCCACCACCGAAGCCACCCATTCCTGCCAGCCTTCGACTTTCCATCCCTCCTCGGCAAAAGCGGCAACAGCACCCTCCCGGGCTTCGGCGACAGCTTTGATTCGGGCCTCCTCGGCATCCTCCGCGGCTTTCTTGGCAGCATCTGCCGCAGCCTTCTCCGCCTCTGCTTTGCCTTCGACTCTGGCCACCATTTTGGAGCCCTCGAGGATGTCTTTGAAAGCCTCTTGCTCAGCTTTGCGAGCGTCCTCGGCCTCCTTAAGCTGCCTTCGGGCCTCGGCCAGTGCTTCAGCGGCCTTCTTCTTCTCTGAGTCATGCTGTTCTATCCTCTGGACCAGCTCGCCAAGACCAAGGCTCGCCTGAAAGCAGACATGAATTACCGGAGGATTAGCCACTACTCATGTAAAGAATGAAGTTATCTACAAAAGAGGGGGAAGGAAACTTACCGTAACCGAGGCCATCAGAACCTTGGAGCAGAGGACATCGTCGGCCTGATGAGAGAGCACAGACTTATCGGTCGGAGGGGTAGCACCCCTCAAAAACTCCCTCGGGTTCAGGGTCCCGTGCATGATAGCAATCCCCTTCGTGATGGAGAATTGGACCTTGTCCAGGGGCCATGTCAGATCATTGGCTTGACCCGAAGGCTTGTGAGGAGAAGATTCGTCCACGACAACGACGGGGGCTTCCTTCGACTCTGGGGCCCCTTTCTTCTTCTTCTTCCCCTCCGGTTGTGCCGGGTCCTTCCCAAGTCTTTTCCTCTTCAGCTCCAGACCGGGGGAGCCTCCGACAGCGGCCTCCGGGATAGGCCCCACCTCCTTGGCCTCTTCGGCCGCTCCCGCCTTGGGGAAGATCTCATCGACCGCCCTCTGTTGTGCGGGGGCCTCCTTCTTCTGCTCCTCCCGGGCAAGTTGCCTCTTCAGCTTAACCAGGTTCCGAGCGTCCATGTCTGGTCCTGAAACACAAGAAGGCACACAAGGGTTAGTTCACTATTACAGCAAAGCAAAAAATGAAAAGGGGGAAGAAATTTTTCTAAAAGTATAAGAAATGAAGCCCTCGGCATTACAACAACCTTCGGCACTCTCATATACGCGGTCAATCATGGGGTAGCCTTCCTCCTTCTCCCCCATCAGCCGGTACCGACGGAAGCCGAGCTTGTACAACTCACTGGAGAGCGTTGCGCCTTTGATGGACACATGCTTATCGGAACCCTCCGGCTTCTTGGACAACACCCGCCCATTCTTTTCGAGGGCATACCCTTCTGCCTTTGGGTGCCGCCGAAACCTGTCACCAAGCGGAGCGGAGAAGGGGTTCTCGGCCAACCGGATATAGCAGAACTTGTCTTTCCACCCCTTGTGAGACGAAGGCGCCTCATCAAAGATCCTGAACTTCGGGAGCTGCTGCAGATTACCATAGCCCCCGGCGTTCGAATGCCCCCCCCCCCCCCCCCCCCCCCCCCGGCATAAGTTGAATGACAGGAAGAATTGCTCCAGAGTAGGGGGACCCTTCGGCTGAGGCACAGTGACAGGAACCCTGCCAGATATGAGTGACTGTTCGGGGTCAACTGGCAGGGGGCTAGCTTTACGAATAGGAGGTACTCCAACACGAAAGGATGAAGGGGAAACCTGAGACCCAGCTCCACCGAAAGCAGATGCACGGCAAAGCAGCCGTCGGGGGCACGAAGGAGCACATCATCCGGCTTGGGCTCTACCACTTGCGCCGAAGGCCCTACCAAAAATTGTACCGCCATCATTTCCCCTCGGGTAGCTTTATTCTTGACCTCCAAGGCGGCCGTATTCAGGAAAGAATAGCCCTTGGGCAGTCCCAGTGGCTGGCCAGCGTCGACGGCAGCTTGCTTCTTCTTCGGAGCCATCCTCGCCTTCTTTCTCTTTTGCCCGGGGGCCACACTGAGGGGTACATCATCTATAGGCCGGGAGCTCCCAGCTTCAGTACCACACCGAGGGGGAGGGATAGCTACAGTCACCTTCAGGCCCTCCTTCTGGGCCTCGTCCTCGGCCACCTGACAGGCGATAGCAAGCTCCTCATCCGCGTTCACCTGTTCGAAGTCTTCGGCCTCGAGCTCAAGTTGAAGGTCACCCTGTACCGCCTCGGCTACGGCCCTATCATCGATGACCGAGAGCTGCTCGCTCGAGGATTCCACGTCAGACGACACTTCAACGTTCACTGAAGCCTCCCCGGAGATGTCTTGGGAATCACTAGCTCACGACATTTCTCTAAAGGGCGAGGGGTCGGGGAACTCGTACAAAGGGGGGTTCCTGAAGGGTCCTAAAGACTAACCCTAAGGCCAAAAGCTAAATACTCAAATGGAGCTAAGGGCGGAAGGAGAACTGACCTCTGAAAGCTGAGTTTTTTGACCGAAAGCTTGAGTTTCTCTCTCTAGAATTTTTGGCAGAGCTTCGCTAGGGATGTTGGATGCGTAAAGGAGGAATGGCCCTGGCTTGGGGTATTTATAGGCTCCCAGATCCGGGCTTGGGCCGAGATCCGGGCTCCCACCAGCCAAAGCCATCATTACGCACCGTCGTTTCACCCAACCGGTGACGCCCGCCCACGAGCAGCCAACGGTTACACTCCACGTGTACCCCCCCAACGGCTATAAATCTGACGCTACATATTCCAACGGCTATATATCCAACGGCTATATTCTGGAAGCCCCCGGGTTTTCCGCTTCACTCCACTTCATCACTCCTCCAGAAACCCAAGGCCTCATATCAGGGCCCCCCTCGGGGATTTCCCCTCAGCACTGTAAGAACCAGGTAGCCCCCGGGGAATTGCCTCACTGACGGATAACCCAGGGCACACAGGTAATGGGGAGCCCTCGGGTATCTTCATCACCAACTAATCAACAAACAGTGGACCCCCCGGTAACAACTCCACTACTGCCCTCATCCATCAGGCCCTCGGTCCCCAGATGGAGGGGCTCCCCTTCGGCACCCCAGGACGTCAACAGCAAGCCTTCGACTAATCAATACATGAGCCCTCAGAAAAGGAGAGCCTTCGGCATTACCGTTATTCTCCATTTTTGACCAAGGTTTGACATTTTCGATTCATCGTTGGGGGAATTCGGTGCACTCTTTTTCCCTCATTAGGATTTTTTCCCCCAGGGTTTTTCCTAATGAGGTTTTTAACGAGGCATCCCCCCAAAATGAAACGAAAAGCGTCAGCCTTCGGCCCACAACAACAACACAACTACTCTACTCCTTTTCACCACTTTACAAGTGCCTCAAGGAGTGGGGGACTGGAGAACCCCCTCGGGGAAAACATTAAATTACAAAATTGGTAAAAAATTCAAAACAAACGGCAAAGCAAGCCCTCAAGTCCCGACATGTGGGTAACTGAGGGACTGCCTTCAGCAGGGGCGTGAAAGCAACAACTCCTCACCAACTTCAGAGGTTACGACAGGACAACGTCAAAGGGCAAGCACAAATTACTTCTTTTCCCTCAAATACCTTTCGGCAAAAGGAGTGAGGGACTCCTGATGGAGTATATGGCCCGGGAACCCCCGGCCCACAGACTCCTACTACTCCAACGAGGGCCCAGAAGGCCCAACAGGCCCAGAAGGCCCAACACGCCCAAATCATAGCGTCCAGAGTACCAAGCAGCCTGCAAGGCGCACCAGGGGTGCCTTCGGCCCCCTGGCCGAAGGCTCTAAACTCTCACAGAACGGGTTTCTCAAGCAAATTAAGAAACTGGGAGAAAACGGCGAAAACAGTAGCCCTCGGCACTATGAGCCCTCGGCACCAGGGTGCCATCGGTTTGAGGAGCCCTCGGCTACTGCTCTATAGCCGAAGGCATCTCACTCGACAAGATATCCGCCTCACATGCGTACAGATCACTGTACCCCGCACAGACGTCCCATCCAACAGCCGCATTAAATGCGGCCACATGCGGCTGCCAGCGCCAACCAGTTGAGGTGACCCCTCGGCCAATGGGCGCTTGACACGTGTCCCTGTCTGGCATTTATTGCTACTATAAATAGCCCCCCATTTTCCCCATTTGTAACCACGACATTCACACTGAATACACTCTCTCTCTTATTTACTCGTGCTCTGACTTCTCTCTAAGTTATTCTCAGCAATAACCCTTCGGATATATACCCCCGGGTAGACTATCCATCAAATAATAATAATAATAATAATAATAATAATCCCTCCGTCCCGGTCATTTCTTCCAACTTTCCTTTTTGGGTCGTCCCAATTAATTCTTCCAACTTTCGCTTTTGGAAAAAATATGTGGTTCACATTCATTCACCTTTTTCTTACACAACTACAACCATACATTTTCACTTTATTCCCACTACCTAAATTTGCGATACCGGTCAAAACCGGAAGAAATGACCGGGACAAGGGAGTAATAATAATAATAATAATAATAATAACAACAACAACAACAACAACAATAATAATAATAATAATACTAATAATAATAATAATAATAATAATAACAGTAATAATAATAGTAATAATAATAATAATAATACTAATAATACTACTACTAATAATATTAATACTACTACTACTAATAATAATAATGGTAATAATAATAATAATGGTAATAATAATAATGGTAATAATGGTAATAATGGTAATAATAGTAATAATAGTAATAATAGTAATGATAATAATGATAATAATGATAATAATGATAATAATGATAATTGTCAGTCCCTGTTTTCTATTACAGCAATGAATAACAGTATAACAAGAAGAAGATTAACAGTAAAGATGAACACAGATAGATCGATGTAAACCTTCCTTGATATACCGTGAACTCGTACAGAGAAATATTTGCGTTAAGGCTATTTGGAGCGAGTACGAAAGTTAACGTAGACGTGAATCATCGGCTCCCTTTTATAGGCGAGGTTCAGGTATGCGTATAAGACTTTTAGCCTTTTGTATGGGCCTAACACTTGGCCCATATTAAATACTATTCTAAGAGATACAGTATATCAGTGCAGAATGGAAATAGTAAACTAGATTATTACATACAAAACTGACAGACTTGATTCACAATGAAATTATCTTCAACAATCCCCCCCTTTGTGATCAAGTGCTGTCTTCTCTTCCTTCTGAGCTTGGTAGTAATGTTTTCTTATGTTAAGAGCATGCTCGTATTGCCTAAGGATGTTCCTCTTGTCAAGGCGATCGTCAATTGCCTTTAGAATGGTTGTCAATGTTGCGTGCTCCTTCTGAGTGTATGACGATGCGTCTGCAAGCTTTTTGTCCAGCTTTTCTTTTAGTTTCAACAGCTGCTCTTCGATGATCTTCAGAGTTCCATCACAGTACTTTGCAATTTCGTTGACCATCATCAAGCGTTTTTTCATTTTTGTGATTCAGATACGTGACTGGTGGGGGACTGAAGAATATGTGATAAGCTGGGAAGTCATTGATCTCTGGATCTTGAAGTCGTGGCTGTGCAAGATTTGTCTTTGGCAAGTTGTTTTCTATAGCCATCTGAAGGTTGTGGGTGGAATGAACTCGGACTTGTCAGAGCATGAATCGTTTGATGGCTTCAAAACCTTCGCTGTAAGTTCTACTCTTCCTGGTTGGAAGGTATCTATATGCCATGAACATTTGATATATGTCATTTGGTTTCATCATGATGAAGTCATTCTCTTGGCATGTAAATATGCTTCCGTCTGTGCGCCTCAGCTTATAGGAGTAGAGCCTGATTGTGTTATGATCTTCAGCTTTGACTTCCAGGATATCATGAACCGGATGTATGCTGGATCTCAGATCTTTTTCAAGGGCAGCTCTTTGAGGTCCGGATGATCGATGCATCAGCATATGTAGATGGCCTCCTGCTTGTTTCCATTTGAGGTGTGTGAGACTTCGAAGCTTTAGCTCTTTCAGGGGCTTGATTTTGTCCGGTCTACGCCAGATGCGCTCTCTGATTTCCTCTTGGAAGGGGGCTCTTATCCTGACATTCTTCCAGGGGTTTTCGGCCTTGGGAAGTCATCCCGCCGTTAGTCTTACTACAGATTCAAGCGCCCTCTGGGTTTCTTTGTAGTTCTCCCCTTCCTTGATTTCATCTTCCTCGAGCCTGACAATGTCTTCAGCGCATTTGGTCAGTAGTTCTCGAAGCCACCAGTTTCTCTGCATGTCATCTATCTCAGCCGCACTGCGGAGATCATCCCATTCTGTCCATTTTCTTGGCCATTTATCATGTATCACCGCATCCTCCAGTGCGTCGTGGATGTCCTTGCCTGGGGGAATGTATGGAACTCTTTGCTGCTGTTGGAGCGGTGATTGTTCTTGGGTAGCACAACCGGGTTCACTTGGATTGCCCGTTGACATCAGTTTGGAACTGGGTTCTGACTGATGGCCTGATTTTGAGGATGTACTTGCAGTAGCATCACCAGGACTTCCATCCCCTCCTCGAACAGTATCTCTGGGAGATAAGCCTCGGGATGTTGTCATCAGCTTCGACACAGGTTCTGACTGATGGCCTAAGCTTATTGATGTACTAAGGGTAACATCGTCAGGACTTCCATCCCCTCCTCGGACAATATCTCTAGGAGATAAGCCTCGGGATGTTTCGTCTAGCTCGACCACGCTAGAGAGATGGGCTTGGTTTTGGCTAGAGGAAGGTGGTGGTTGGTTAGTGGAAGTCTCGGGTTGTTCGGTTTGGGGGGTGTGAGTGGTAGAGGCACCTTGCTCGAGTATCCGTGGCCTCTTGTTCTCCCCTCATGAGGTTCCGGATCGTCGGGATCCTCATGTGAACGTTTGCGACCACGGGGACTTTCACGGCAGGTGCCCTTGGTGTCCGGATCAGAGAGAAGGACAGTAAGGACGCCTTGCTGGTAGGGAGTGAGGTCGGTGTGGGGTATGTTAAGGAGATGATCCAGCAAGGCTGATGCCAGGACCTCGAAGGGTTGGGAAAGCAGTTCAATGGGAGGTGTGGTCGGGTGTGGGGATGATACTTGGTCTGTATCATGGGTTCCCCGGGAAGAGGTAGGGCTATGGGCTTTGGTGGAGGTGGCGGAGATGACTGGAGAGGGTTGAGATTTGGAGTGAGAAGGTGATGGGTGTGGTTCAGGCTGGCTGTGTTCACTATGCACCGCTGGGGTGGTCTTGGATTCTTGTGCCCAAACGGTAAATGCTTGTTGCACCCATGACTTAATGGTGGAATCCATGAAACGGTGCATAAGAACGGTGACGTCTTCGGTAGTGAGGTGTTCAGTTACAGGGGTTGTAACTGTTGTCACAACATCAGTGAAGAGAGCTGATGTGTGGCCTGCATTCAATAATGGAGTCATTGTGGGCGTAGCAGGGCTTCCGACCGTCATCGTTGGCACTCTGGTCGTTGCTTCCAGGGTGCGTGCACCTGTATGTCCGGTGAATGGTGTAGGTGTCCTAGAAAAATTAGAAAATGTAGGGAGTGTGACACCTAGACTCGATGTGCTCAAGGAAGTGGTGGTGGCCTCGGGCTGTTGGCCACTAATTCGCTCAACTGGTTCGGAGGGAACCAGAGAGGTGGGTGAGTCCCGCTGTTTTGAAACGTTAGCCTGTTGGGAGGCTAACGAGTGGCTAGGTGAGGGTGGTGCATGCGCAGTTGAGCCTGATGCTGCGGCTTCTACTTGGAAACCGAAAAGATCGGCTCCTGTACTTAAGGATTCAGCTCGGCTTATATTGATGAAGGGTTGACAATCGGCGAATATATACAGGTCGTCCGCGTCAACTAGGTTTCTTTTGACGAGGCGCCGCTTCTTTGGGTTGAGTGACTGGGGAGCATCATTTTCAGCTTTGATGCGTTGCTCCCTGATGATGCCGGTAGCACTTGCTATAGTATGACCGGCCTCCACGGTCTTGATGACGAGCTCTTTGGGGCGTGTAGCAATGATGGGGGCTGCATCCCCAGCGGTGATTTTCTTTGGAGGAGATTCAATAGGCAGCTTACCCTTTTGGATGAGAGCAAAGGTGTGCTCAACATCGTCGATATCATCGTCATCATCATCATCATCGTCATTGTCACTTCTGGCCACGCTATCGGAAGCCTCGTCGTCAGCCTCTTTGTGGGCCGGGCTGAGCGAGTCATCAGCAGGTTCCTCAGCGTTTGTCGGTTTGCCCTCAGTCGTCCGAGTCCTCTCGAAAGATTCATCGGACTCTCCTTCATCGGGTCGACATGTCACTGACTTCTGTGACTTTGGGGCTCTCTTGGGACCCTTACTTACACTCGGCTTAGTCCCCAAGGTAGGTCCAGCTGGGTTTTGCTGAACCATAGGGACTGTTCTTTCAAGGTTCTTCTTGTATTTTACAATGGTTGGATTGGACTGATTTGCTAGATTGAGCAGAGCATCTGGAATCCGCAGTCCCTGAGCCGCTTTCTTATCAGCTTTGAAATATTGGAGCTTTGGGGCTGTGAAGTGTGGATCATCACTGCGTCTGGGAATGGAGGTGTTCTCTGTCATGCAGTCATGGATGATCAGTCCCAGCCACCTGGCGTATGGGATGGTGACTGACATGTTTTTCTCCTTTGCTTTCACCAGGTCCATTAGCTTTGAGAAGAAGAGCTGAGCCATGTCATATTTCTTGTTGTATGCAATGACGTGGAAGACGCAGAGGATCTGCTTGTTGCATTTGTCAAGCCCGGCATTGTAACACCCCCATTTTTCCCGCCCAAAATAATACTTGAAATAATAATATATTGATAACAACCTTGATGTATTCCTTAAAAATAGATAGAGTTTTGCAGCGGAAATAACAGTAATGGAAAAAGGGTGTGTTACCGCCACACCCAGCCCTCAACTTGGATGAATGTTAAGGCTATCCACCATGAGTTCAACCGAATTAAAAACTTAAATTCAAAATTTAATAACATTATTTAAACTAAGTGAAGGCTACACTTAAATCTTCTAAAGCGCTCTCAAGGCTCGTCAAACATCATGAGCTTCATATTCATCATTACCTGCACAAATAAAGTGTAGAGAACAAAACAAAGAAAAGGAAACAAAAATTAGCTTTAGAGCTAAGTAAGTACTACCCAACCCCGTAAAATAATCAAGTTTGACAAAAATAGTTTTTCATATAATACTATATATAAAAATACTCACACCACCGAAATTCTTTTCAAAACATTATTTATCAACAATCTCAAATACCCTTATAATTAAAAATAATATTTATAAGCTCCCAACAATTAATTAATATCTCAAAAGAAGTATCACTTTTCAAAAATAACTTTTGAAGCTAAAAATATCACCATTCCGAAATCAATGTCACTTTCAGATTCTTTTAAGATGGGCGAAACTCAAGATTCCTCGAGCCCAATGAATCGTTGTTGTGTACGACTCATCCCGGAATTCCGGCTCCCACCGACCACCAATTGGAAACTGAACTTCACCCTTAAGTGTGCACACCCCCTAAAAGGGATTCCAAGCCCTCCGAGTAGTAAGAAGTCCAAGTAGTTCGGACAACGTCCCCCTACCTCACAATGGGTTAGAAACCCAGGTAATTAGAAACTACTACCGCGGCCACCAAAGAACTATTAAAGTTCTCAAAACAAATACCGGGAATCTCCCGCCACCAATATTTACCGGGATTTCTCCCGCCACCAATAATCATCTTAAACCTAAACTAAACCCGCGGTATATAGCTCTAACCACCCACACCTCGCGTTTCTCTCGAGATGTCAATAATCATTAAAAATATTTATTCATTCTTGGAAAATCATTTCTCTATAGTCATCCAGAATATCTATTTAATAGATACGTCCACCAAAAATTCACATTCATAAATACTCCAAAATTCTTTTACATAAAAATTCACTCCAAGTCATACTAGGGATTAAATCCCAAAATATATCTCCAATATTTCACAAATTCTTAGTCGTCCAAAATAGTACACATTTAAAATTCACACTTAATCACATAATGCATAATAAGCATATAATACGAGGAAACAATTTTGGATTGACAGAGAAACTTACCTTAAGTCCTGATGCTCCTAGTTATCCTCCTCTAATCCGGTCTCTAGATAATCACCTTTTTAATTAAATATGATAAATTAGTCACTTATTCTATTTGTAATTACTTTACCCGATTTTCTCCTTTTATTTTATTATTCGCATTAACTTTGGTTAATCACTTTTTATTAATCAAATTACCTTATTAATTCAGCCATTAATTACAATATTTGAATTCTAATATTAAATAAAATATCCGAATATAATTAACTACAACATCCATTTTTTATTCAATAATCACCATTAATTTACTCTACTCATAAATTATTATCTAATTACTTTATTTATATTAACCCATTAATTTATGAATTCAAATATTTTAAATATTTATATGAAGTCCGAATATCTGATAATTAATCATAAAAATTATTAATTGAATTAGTCCACTAATTACATAACTAAGTTATTTATTAAGTCTACATATAGTCAATTATTTATGCTAGCTAACCCATCCTTATTTTATTTTCCTTATTTTATTCCAACATCATTTTTAGTTCAGAATATTATTTTTCAATCTCAGTGATTTATTTATTTCACCATTAATAATAATATTTCCTTATTTAATTACTTAACTAGTTTTATATGGCCTAATTTAAATAAATAGACTAAGAATCGACTTTATAAATTAATAACCGTCTATAACTATAATTTGGGTCTATATTTGACCTAGATTGTCCAGATATCTATTTTATAATTATTTCCATAATTATTCATTTAATTTCATATATCTATTAACCGGTTCAATTACAAATAAATATACTAAATCTTAATCTTTATTATATATAAATGGTCCATAAGGTCCTAGTTAGTCATATATTTATCCTAGTTTACTCCAATATTTATTTCATAATTATTTTCGTCAATTAGTTAATTATTTTCTAAATGTATACAAATTGGCCCAATTACAATTAAATTAATTAAAAATAGCTAAAAATATTATTTTTGAATTCTGGTTGGTCCGAATATGTATATTTATACTAGGTATTTAATTTATATTTTTCCAGATTTTATTTATTTCATTTACTATTTTATTTTTAATTTTTATTGCAACTGGGCCGAACTGGCCCAAATTTAATTTTTCTGGCCCAATCCTGAAAAAGCCCAAAAGACAGACCCCAGCAAATGCTGGGTCGTCTTCTTCCTCAGTTCGCCGGAAAAACGGGAAAACAAGGGGGAAGGGGTTTACCTCGTCGGACAGCGTAACGGCGGTGCTAGCGGGCTTGTTTAGGGACGGCGAAGGTCCGTGATGGTTCGGCGGTGGCGGTGGCAGTCCCTTCTCCTCCGTTTCCGTCGTGAAGGTTTTTCCTCCGACGAAACTCCGGTGAGCTGTATCTCCCTACTCCGACGTCCGTTTTCCACGATTCTTTCACCTTTAGATTCGTCTCATGAAGGGGAAGGTTTCTAGAGTATTTTCAGGGCTTGGTTCTGGCTAAAACAAAGGGTCGAAAATTCTGGTATATATATATACGTATATATGTATATATATGGGGCTGTTTCTTGTATGAATAAAACGCAGGTCCTAGACTACTATTTATAGATGTAGGTCGAGGGTTTTAGGCTGAGATGTTAGAGTTGGAGCTGAATTTTGATTCTTTTGTACTTTTAGGAGTATTAGGAGTATATTTATTATATAACTAGTATTACGTACGTTATTATATATATAATAGAAGTATACGTACGTAGGTATTTATATATTAGGAGTACACTACTTAGTTATATATTAGGAGTATACGTACGTAGATATATATATATTAGGAGTATTATGAGTATTACTTAATAATACGTACGTAGGTTTATTAGAAGTAGGAGTAGTCAATTCAGTTTATTTATCTATACGTACGTAGGAGTAGTTAGTTTAGTTTATTTAAAATACTAACTTTTTATATTATCTATACGTATAAAATCTATACGTATTATTATACTTAAAATAGATATATATAAAAGTTAATTTTATACTAAAACGTTACTTCTATTATCAGACCATTTTTATCTGACTAAAACGTCATAAATTTTGAAATTTTTATCTGATTAGCACGTTACCACTGTTGAATTTTTGTCTGAATCAATTAATTATAAAAACGTTATTTTCGTAATATTTTATCTGACTAATAAAAATTATTTTTATTTTTATTTAAATTTTTGAAGTGTCACAGGCATGCTTTGGGGATAGACACTTGTTGACTAGCCCGAACAGGCTCTTCCAAGGACGATGTAGGTAGGCTCCACTGAAATTTGACAGTTTCGGTAGTAGAGAGGCATAACCCAGATCCGCGACATCTTTGAGAAGGTCCGGAATAGTGGTAGAGGATCGTAGTTGTCATGTGCCGGGAGCGCCAGTGTAGAGCTTAGAGTTGCTGGAGTCAGGACTATCCTCATGTTGTTGAGCTTTGTGAAGAATTTTGGATCGGTCTTTTGTTGACTCGGTGCGCATATGTCCCCATAGTTGTTGGAGGTAGATTTCTGGCACCGACTTAGATTTGTGGAGGGCGGTCCAGAGATAGTGGCGCTTCAGAATCCCGGGGATGACCGGATCCTGACACTTGAAAACAGTCAGGTCCAGCTGGAAGTTGTTGTCCAGCACCTTGACCCACCTATCTTGTGGATAGATGGCGTCGTCAATGTTATGTCTCTTTTGTGGGCCTGCCATAATGAGCTGTGGAAAATATGGGTCAGTGCAAAAGTCCATTACTCTTTCTGTTTGTTTCCTGTTTTTTTTTCACAGAATAAAAGAATAAAAGCATGACGTCCCGATTCATCGGATCGTCATGAGGGGGAGAGTGGTCCACATGTTGTTAAAACTGTCAAAAAATCATTCTGGGACACTTCTCTCCTCCAAAACTCTATCTACTATCTTCGCAACTCAAATGGTCAGCTACGCTCACAAGTCAACCATCATTATGTTCCGCTGTGCCACCGATAAATTCTCCTCAAATGCATTCATTCCAAACAGTCAAAAAGACTACATTGTGAAGGGGACAAAGGTCAGATACTCAATCTGATGAAGATGAAGTCCATGGGCGTCTCCTATTCTCCAAAGGTCATTCATTCTAGAGGCGTCACCGGACTTCATCCAAGCTGATCAAGAACAACTTCTCGAAGGCAAGGACTACATGCAAGATACTGAAGGTCCCTCAACCCCCGGCATCAAAGATGAAATTGTCAAGAAGACATCAAAGGGGAGATTGCAAGGATTTCTTCAGATAGCCTTCCTCAGAAGTCAAGTTCAAAGACAAAGGAAGCTGAATAACAACAAAGACAAAGATATCTGCGCTGCAATGCTGATTCAACACGATTGAACACCAAGGGGGAGATTGTTAGGAATATTTTATGGTGTCCAATCTAATTAAATATCTTTGTATTTGTGTAGTTATTAATTAAACGTGTAATATGGGCCACAAATGTGTATCAGCCCGGGGGCTTCCTTGTAACCCGTAAGTTAGCTAACTTCTCCTATAAAAGGAGGCTAACTTACGGGAACCCTAACAATCGAATAGAGGCTCAGAGACGCAGAGGCGAGATAGAGAGAGAGAGTAGGGTTGCCGCTGCTCTCCTTCTCCAGGGAGAGCAGCGGCCAGTTCATACGGTATACCAGATTCGGTTCTTATCTTGTAGATATCTTTCTTTCTGCTTCTTCTTTAACTGTTATGGTTGTTTGATTGTTAAATATTGGGTTTATCAGAAATCCTATAATGTAAAGCTTCGATGAACTGCAAAGGATGTCAAGATTCGAATTATGAGTTCCAAGAAACTGCAAACTTTGAAAGATTCAAAACATCTAGAAATTCCAAAAATTTTGAATTTTTTCAGAATGTCGAAATCCTAAACATCGAGTTCCTAAAACTCGAAATTCCAAAACTCGAAATTCCAAAACTCTCAATTTTAAAACTCGAGTTTTAAAACTCTCGAGTTTAAAACTCTCGAGTTTAAAACTCGAGAGTTTTAAACTCTTGAGTTTTAAAAACTCTTGAGTTTTAAAACTTTCGAGTTTTCAAACTCTCGAGTTTTCAAACTCTCGAGTTTTAAAACTCTCGAATTTAAAACTCTCGAGTTTTCAAACTCTCGAGTTTTCAAACTCTCGAGTTTTCAAACTCTCGAGTTTTAAACTCTCGAGTTTTAAAAACTCTAGAGTTTTAAAACTCAATTTTTAAAAACTGTCGAGTTTAGGAATTCGAGACCCAAAATGTCGAAATCCTGCAAAATGAAAACTTCGATTTTTGAAAATCCGAAAACTGTTCTGTATAGCCCTAAGGTCGAGATTCTCCTGTATCAGTTTCAAGTCAAAATCGTTTCTGCAGCAGTGAAAAACAAGAATCTCGAGATCTCAAATGTAGAGATCTTCGAAATTGAAAAATTGCAGAAATCGAAAACAGAGATATGCTGCTGGATCGGTTTTGAAAGGTGATTCCAACAGTATAATTTTTACAGATTTTCGTTCACAAACAAGATAACAGGAGCAAATCTCTATATCAAAGAAAAAGAGAAGAAAAGCAGAGCAGTTCTTCGTAAGATCAGAAAATTCGCAGATAGATTCAACCTTTTTCACGCCTCGGTTCTGATACCAATTGATAGTCCCAAAATACTAAAGAATCAAACAACCATAGCAGTTAAGAAGAAGCAGATAGAAAGATATGTCGATATTATACACGAATCTGGTATATCGTATGAAACCCCGCTGCTCTCCCTGGAGAAGGAGAGCAACGGAAACCCTTCTCTCTATCTCGCCTCTGCGTCTCTAAAGCCTCTATCGATAATTAGGGTTCCCGTAAGTTAGCCTCCTTTTATAGGAGAAGTTAGCTAACTTACGGGTTACAAGAAAGCCCCCGGGCTGATACACATTTGTGGCCCGTATTACACGTTTAATTAATAACTACACAAATACAAAGATATTTAATTAGATTGAACACCATATAATATTCCTAACATAATCCAATTGTGTCGTGTGTACTGCTGTATCCTGTGTCATTTTTTCAACTGTGCCATTGTTCATTAATGAATCTTCAATTTCTTTAGGATTTATAATGTTCCAATAATATTAATGAATATACGTGTTGTTGTAGTGCTTGTTTTTTTTGGATAAAATGTAAATATATATATCCAAAGTGTTTATGTACACCTGTACAGATCAAAAACATCCATCCTGGGTCATCCAAGTAAGGATTTCCCTGTCACCTCCCCAAAAAGATACCGCATCTATCTAGCTAGCTACATACTCATGCTAGCCATCACAAAAAAGGTGACGAATCAGCAAAAACATCAGAATGTTACCCTTTCAATCGGATACATATAGTAAAGAACTTTATACACCATAAACTTGATATGTTTGACCATATCAATCACCGTGGTTGTGGTCTTCTCAAAACAAATCATGTTCCTCATGCGCCATGTCCAATAGATGGTATAGCAAAAAGATAGCTTCACGGCTTTGGCCTTCACATTTGCTCCATTGTGTTCCTTCTTCATCCACTTGACAGCACTTGAAAGTGTGTTCATCTGTCTCGTTATTCCAAGCCAATCTCTGATCATATTCCAAACCTGTCCTGTAAACGAACACTCAAAATATAGGTGTGACACCGTTTCCGGGCCACCCTTACAAAAAGGACAAATGTTAATCACATCAAGAAAGCCCAAACTATCATACGTAGCTAACCTCCCACGGAAGGCCAACCAAGTAATGAATGAAAATTTGGGCGGGATATAACTCTTCCATATGAAGGACATCCATGGGTGGATAGTGCCCTTTATTCTAAGCAAGTCATACACTTTAGACGAGGAGAGTTTCCCATTGTGGGAGCACTTCCCCAAAAAGGTGAGGGCCTGGTCCAAAGAAGAGAACTTAGAAACAATCAAATCTCGAATAGAAGCAAAATTCTTCATAAGCCGTGAGTCCTTATTGTGTGGCACAAACGTCCACACACACCTACCTTTAAGATAAATCCCATGCACCCACTTAACCCAAAGTGATTCTTTATTTCCATGGATATTCCAAAGGGTTCGGGAAAGTAAGGCATTATTCCACACCTTTGTGTCCCTAATACCTAAACCCCCCTCATTCTTTGGTAGGCAAATATCACTCCATGCAACTTTTGCACGTTTGCTACCCCAAAGAAACAGTCTGCATAGGGTTGTAATTCTATCAAGTATAGCTCTCGGCATAGGGAAAATACCCAGCCAGAACGATTGAACACCTTGCATGACTGATGTAATCAACTCAACCTTCCCCGCATAGGAAAGAGTTTTCGAGTTCCATACTTCTAAATAACCTGTGACCGTGTCAATCAAAGGAGAGAACTGTGCAACAGATATATTTAGAGGAGCCAATGGGATACCCAAATATCTAACCGGAAAGGATCCTTGTTGAAAACCCACATTTTGTAAAATATGAGGAATTCTACTCTCGATATTAACCCAAATATCTAACCGGAAAGGATCCTTGTTGTAGTGCTTGTTTTTTTTACTGAAAGGTGTCAAAATTTAGGGTGAAGTTTTACGTTACAGGTTATACCTATTACAATAATATAATAGTCATTTTGTGTGTCTAGTTAGAGACATATTCTAAAAGGTTACATATTTTGGAATAGAAGTTAAACTTTTTGGTTTAAAAGTTAGATAATTGTAAATACAAGTTCTTATGCGGTTGACATGCTAGCGACAACCTTCATTGGATGTTGTAGTTAGTGAATTTTGAACAATGATTGCCATCAATTACAGCATCGGCCAAATGGTAAATAAATGTGCAAATATCAGCATTTGTATGGGTTCTAGTCATTGGTAGCATCAGCCATGGTTAACAGAGCTCAATATCTTGATTGATGCAGTGATGCAACAGCCATCAAGCCATATGCCTAGAGTGTTAATGAGTTTTGTAGTGCGATTTTGATTGTTGGTTAGTCGAGGAGCTCCTGTTATTTGGGATCTTTTGCAACTTCAGATTTGTCTGGATGAGTTGATTTATTATTTTCCCTAAATTTATCATCTCAATGCTTTAATTTTAATTTAATTTTCACTTATAAAGGTTATTAGCTTAACTGGGAGAGCAATGTGCAAATTTGCAGAGAAGTGTGGGTTCGACTCCCACATAGCCTAAATAATGATGTTATTGAATATTATTAACAATAAATTATTCTGAGTTCAAAATATGAATAAATTATTTACAGCTGCATATTTGTATTCCTACCCATTTCCTTTTCCTTTTTCCTGGTACAACTGCTTTTCTTTCAAATCTCTTTGCTGCTTTTTTCCCTTATATTTCAGTGAGTCCGCTAGAAGAGACTATTCTTGTGTTGTTTGAGTAAACTATGATTCCGTGAAATAAATCATTTATTATTAACACACACTGAAAGAGCCAGAATAATAACTAATAGAAATGAAGTCATAACTTCTAGTCTAATAACATTAAACCAGATCCAAAAACGCTAATCTAAAAAAGAGAAACAAAGTTAAGTACATCATCCGAAAAAATAATCTTTTTTAATTTTCTTCCTTCATATATTTCTTCTCAAAGTTCCACCTTAAAAATGTAACCAAACTAAATATAAGATCATAATTTCACTATCACACTAATAGGTCCAGAATGCTAACTTATAAACATAAAGTCATAACTTGTAGTATAATTTTTTTTGAATCTAACAAAGAAAATAAATTACTTAGAGAACCATAAGCATCAACATGAGTATGCTAATCTCTCAATGGTTCTTTGACATTATCATTGGCTACTTCAAGATTTTCCATATCTACGATCAAGAAAAAATACTTTACAATCACACAAATAGATCTTGATTCATAGATTCTGATAAAAAAAATCATAGCACTTAGTCCAATAACTTCAAAAGACCTTCCTTTGTGTTATAATATTTCAAAAGTACATGATTTAATTTTAATTTAATTTCTTAAACTAAGTGTAATCAAGTGTAACCTTTAAATAATCAAGTGTAACTAAGTAGTCTTGTTGCTTCTTTTTATCCTTACTTTTAAATTAACAAGTGTGACTTCTAAGTCTAAATTTATGACTATTATTCTGAAATTTATAACATCTAACTAATATATACCCTATGAGAAGCCTGGGCACAATGTACTTGACTTGTCCCATGATGCAGGAATCAAACCCATATTGCAGCTACAAAAGTGTTCAAAACATTGTATTACATGGTTGGTTGTTGAGTTGACAACAGTGAGGTATAATAAGGAAGCTGACTTATCTATATTTCACTTTCATCTGCATAAAATAATTGACATTAAAGAAATCAGGAAGTACTTACCCATATTCAGAAGAAGAAGGCGATTTCAAAAGCGTTTTGGAAGAGAATAAAGTGTATGACGTTGAGAACAAAATTGGGGGCGCTGAAACCAGAAATGATCATCAGATGGCTGCACAACTAATTCACCCTCTATTGCTTCATGCTTCTCTGCAACCTCATGTGCCAATTGTATTATCACATGCTGCAATTTGTACCTACAACAAGTAGAAGCTGGGGAAGAAACATAATGAGTGAAAAGTAAAAGGTAAAAAAACAATAATTCCTTAAGTCATCTCACACAAGCTAAATATAGAGATACAAGCTCATGTATAACATTCATGACTTGTAGGTGGCATGAAATCATTACTCTGAATATTGTCTACACTCATGAAAGCAAGCCTTAGATGTGTAATTCTTGCATATTAGTTGGCAGCTGGAGGGTTTTACATATTTAAACACCAATTTATCAATTTTAATAAGCCGCGAATCATAAAAAACAAATTGTATAAATCATAACTTATAACTTAATCACTCTAAACAAAAATAGATCTTCATAGTAACATATGATTGACATGTTACCAAGACAATACTTAGTAGCAACAACGACATATTCACCTCAGATGTTCCAAGTACACTTAATGAGAAAACAGAAACTTAAGTTATATATAATTAACAACAACACTAGGCATATGCTGATTGAACCGGGAAAATAAAATCTTGAGAATACGTCATAACTTATGACTTAACCTCTAAATGAAAAGCAGAGCTTTGCAATGATAAGATAAGAAAGTGTGAGATTACTAAGAATATAATTAGTAGCGGCAGTCACACCTTTTAGCTCATAAGCTCTAAAGGAAAACAATGAAACTCAGAAACTAAAATTAAGATAACAACCAGAGTAAACTAGTTTTATGAAAAAGTTTCAATATTCACTAGTCATATACTAATAGAACCATAAAAAAAACTTGTAACTAATAAATCATAACTTTTTTTAGTGGTTCATGAAACTAGTTTCTTGGGAAATTAAAATCCATTCAGCTGATTTATTAGGCAAAAAATCACACTAGCAAGCAAAAATTATAAAAGGTTTAACAATATATATATACAGATAAGATCAGGTGAGAAGTCCTCCTTAAGATGAGAAGTGAGAAGGAAAAATCAGGTTCGTTAATTTCCTTTCTCATAACCTCCTTAAGAACGCTCTCTATATACTCCGTCCGTCCCATTAGAAGGTTCTGACTTTCCTTTTTTGGACTTCTCATTAGAAGGTTCTCATTTCCATTTTAGGAATCAATTAATAATCTTAAGTGATGAATTAATCATTAAGTATTAGAAATAATACATTTCTAACATCACAGTTATCAATACTAACTATATTATAATATATACATATTAAAATTATTTCTCAAAATATACTCGAAGTACTTTATTTAATTGTTGCCTAAATAACCGTGCCATTTTGCTACGGGAACCTTTCAACGGGACGGAGGTAGTATATTATATAGGGAGCGGATCAGGTGAGAAATGCCCTTAGGCTGAGAAGCTGCGAAGTCTAACTTATAAGCTAAAAGTACAAACTTTTAACCAATAAATCATAACTTATAGACCCCCTCGAAAATAATTACGAAAATCCCACCGCGTCCAAATAACTGCAGAAACCTGGAAAATTTTTTGACGCGGTGGCATTTCCGTAATTAAGATGGAGAGCTTTATAAGTTATAATTTATTGGTTATAAGTTACTATATTCAATCTATAAGTTTGTTGCATTGTAAGATTAGAAGCAAATCAAAGGACTGCGATTACTTCTCACTTCTCGTCTTAAGGAGGACTTCTCACCTAATCTTTTTTTTTTCTCTCTCTCTCTCTATATATATATATATATAGAGAGAGAGAACAGAGATCAAATACAAACTAGTCTTACCTTACTAACCTAAAAACTAATCTCAACCATACGTTTAATCAAGATTACCGTTCATTTCTATGTTAATGGCTCACAACCAACTAATTAACATTGAGGGCGTTTTTGTCACTTACTCCACTTTTATAATGGAACAAAAATCAGGTTCGTTAATTTCCTTTCTCATAACCGCCTACTTTCCTTATTTCTTTCATTCCATCTTTCCCATCGATCATGGATTCCATCTCTGTGCTTGTCTTCTTCATCGATATTACGACTTGCTGCAGTTAGTTCGATGTATGATCATTATCATCGAGCGCCATGGAATCAGGTATTCGTATATCTTTCATGAAATCTGTTTTATACACACACAATAATTTCAGAGGTTGATCGTGTGTTTTTGTAAGTTTGTTCTAGTCTTGCAATTTTTATTTTTTTTGATTTGTATTAGAGATTGATTTTATTCTGTATCTTTTCATAATTAAATGTTCCTAATGTTACCTTCCTTCAATTCGTAGGTATGTTTTCTTTGTGTAGTGTACTGTATATGAATTATGAACGATTCCAAACTGCAGCTTCAATAATGTAAACAGATTAAACACTTAATTTAATGTTTGTTGAAATATCTCTTTGTGTTAGAGGTTTGTCTTCTGCAGGGTAAAATATGTATTATGCATTTGTATGTGTTGTATGGTGCATTTAGTGAATTACTGTTTTCATTGTTGTTTAATATTAGTTTTTGTTCATGTCTAATATTAGAGATCGTTTGTTGTTTATATAGATCAAAGTTGTGGTTTTGAAATTTCTCCTGGGGGTTCAAAGTATTGGATCCCTGAATGTTCATCCGAAAAGAAACCTCTTGTTGGGATGATATTTGTAAATCTAGATGCTGCCTTTAAGTTTTACAAAGACTATGCAGCTGAGTTGGGGTTCACTATACGTCATCATACATCAAAGAAGGCCAGAGATGGGCATATTTTGATGAAGTGTATTGTATGCAGTAGAGCTGGTTTTAAGAATAATGTTTGTCCTCCTGTTTCGGATACCAATGTTGCTGGTTCTGAAGGTTGCCCAACAAATAGGAAAAGAGTGTCTAATAGGACGGATACCAATGTTGCTGGTTCTGAAGGTTGCCCATCAAATAGGAAAAGAGTATCTAATAGGATTGGATGTAAAGCCATGTTAACTCTGAAATATTGTGGATTTAAAGGGTACTCAGTTTTTGCATTTGAACAACGCCACAATCATTCAATGTGCTATGAATTATCCAAACAATTTCTAAAGGTAAACAGATATTTAGACCTTGGACATCGGAAGTTTGTTTTAAATTGTTTTAGAGCAAATATTGGCACAATGAAGTCATATCGGCTATATAAGGAGACTGTTGGGGGATATTCTAATATTGGTGCTACAGCTGTGGATTTCAAGAATTTCAAGCGTGATCTTATGGCTTATATAGCTGATGTTGATGCTCAAATTGTCATTGATAAATTATTCAGGAAGCAAGAGGTGTCTTCTGCTTTCTTTTTTGACTATGATGTGGATGATAGTGACCAGTTAACAAGGTTGTTTTGGGCTGATCCTATTTGCCGCAAGAATTATGCATTGTTTGGTGACGTTGTTTCATTTGATGCTACCTATGGAACGAATATGTTTGTTTCTGTTATATTCTGTTTTTTGGGAATTCGGTTTTATATATTCTGTGTTTTTGTTGCACTACACAGCATAATAACTTGCATATTTCTTTGTTAGCTTATGCACCAAACAGTTTATTGTTGCTTAAAATAGTTTCCTTCTTGATAATCACAGAAAGTGTGTCACTTTTGGAGCTGGATTATTATTGAAGGAGGATGTGGAGTCATACGTTTAGGTTTTTACTCGTTTTATAAATGCTATGGGACGTCAACCAACATGCATTATTACTGTTCAAGACCCAGCGATGCGTATTGCAATTGAGAAGGTATTCACATCATCCAAACACCGTTATTGTATGTGGCATATTATGTCCAAAGTCACTCAAAAGGTTGGCCCAGTCTTAAGCAAAAATGAAACATTTATGTCTTCATTGAATTCAATAGTTTGGAGCCATTACCTTGAACCATCTCAATTTGAAGAAAAGTGGATCTCTCTCATGAACGAATACGAATTGACAAAACATGATTGGTTTGTCCATATGTTTGAGTTGCGCTATTGGTGGATACCTTCTTATTTTAGAGATCTATTTATAGCTGGATTACTTCGTACAACATCACGGTCTAGATTACTAACCCACATTTCAGTTTAATAGAACTTTTAATGCAATTTGAGAGTGCAATGGATGCACAAAGGCATGCACAAGATAAATTGAATTCAGAGTCAGAGTCCTACCTTCCAGTTTTGAAGACTCCTTTATCTATGGAGAAGGGTGCGTCTGATGTATTCACACTCTCTGTCTTTTATGATATTCAGTCGGAATTGTGTTCATCGTGCTTTTCATGTCGTGTTTTGCATGTGCATGGTGTTGATGGTGATTTTGAGTATGAAATTTCCGATGATCGTAATTTGGTGTTTAGAGTTGACTTGAGCATGTCAAATATGAAGGCTGTGTGCAGTTGTAAGTATTATGAGCAGATTGGCATGGTTTGTAGACACATATTTTTTGTTCTAAAGGACTTGAAATTGGAACGCATTCCGAACCATTTGATTAATAGCAGATGGTGCAAGAAGGGTCTAGTGAAGCCACTCACTAAAATTTCTGATTCCGTATTAGAGCAGACTTCATTGTTGGAGGACAATAAGATGTCTCTTAACACTCTTTGGACTGACATATATGCTTGTATGGCCCTTGTTGAAAATAATCCCAATTATTTGAAGCAATTTTCAGTTATAATTAAATAGCAAAAGCAAATTCTACTTTCTCTACATGAAGGTGTTGGTCAGTGTTCAACAAAGAATTCATTAATTGAATCATTTTATGGTTCTGGTGTGCCATCTGAAGTTACTGTTCATCCCCCGTAGCAGGCCAAAAATAAGGGTTCTGGACGTAGGCTGAGGTCTTCCAAGGAAGTTTCAATGGAAGAATCACAACGCCCCAAAAGGCTTTGTAGATCGTGCAATGAGATGGGGCATCACGGTAGTAGGAATTGTCCTTTGAATAAATAGGCTTGCTTGAAGTTAAAGTATATGTTTGCAATTTTTGTTGTTTGACATTACAATGATGACTGTCTGTTGGAAATTAATATAGTTTTATGTTATTGGTTTTGTAGTGTATGTTTTCAAAGTTTTGTTATTATCATTGGGTTTATTAGTCCACGTTTACCATTTGCATTAATGCTCATTTATGCATCATTGTATCCCATGTACTGCATATTTCAGTCTTCAATATCACCTTATAGACCATATAATCTTTAATATAATCATATTCATCACAAAGTTGGATTTTTATAAGAAACATTTTTATAAATTCATGTTAACACTATTAACACACTAGACTGCGCTTATATTTTATATATTCCAAAAAATGAATGGTGCATATTATAACTTATCGGAGTGCATCTTACAGGTAATGAAGTTGCATGTAAGGATGCATAGTCCTGCTATACTCTATATTAAAGAAATGCAAAATGATGCATAATATAGCTCATTGCAATGCATTAAACAAGGTATAAATATGCATATGAACTAAAAATAAAACTTCATTCCACGTAAAATAAGTGTTTGGATTTCACATTCCCACACAAAACAGTCAATATTGATACGATGCATCCTAACATATGTTTCCGTACTAATCTCATGTAAGAACTTCAACACATGTCCACCCACACAAAAACAAACGACACAATAAATTTTTCAGCTCAAACTTAACAAAAACCAAATGTTTGAGATAACAAATCCCCTCTATGCTGCATTCAACCTTTCTGCTTTAGTTATCTTTGCAAATTGTTTGGCATTCATCATGATTTCTTGCATAAGGTCATTGCTTTCGTGTAGTAAAATGGCTGCAACATACTTTCTTCTTAATGCACCAAGTTCTTTGTTATCCTGTCTGTTCAATCCTATACTCCAACCCAACAACCCTTCCCCATGATAAGTCTCCATATGTCGCATTGCCAAGACCTCATAGTCATACACATCTTTGGGATCTCTCCAAGACATGGGTAGTCGCTTACCCTTCAATTTGCGCACCGTATTTGCTTTTTGTAACATTTTCTTTGACTCCAAGTATTTCACAAACATACCAACCTGGAACACAGTTTTACAATAGCTATTATTACATGAATCTCACTCAGTTGTAAGAATACAGACATTAATATATATATATATATATATATATTACATATATAACTCAAATCAAGTTTTATTACCACTTTTTCTAGCATGTCTCCATACTTGTTTGCGTTTGATACCCCGGATGATGAGCTATCGAGAATATCCACACGTTTTAGCTTGGTATTCACACATATGATGTATGTGTGATGATATTGCATTATTGAAAAAAAAAATTGCACCACATTTTCGTGTTAGAACTTTTACATATATAACACCATATATTCAATTCTTTATGACCCTTACCAGATCAATATGTGCTACTGCAGTATGTTGTTGGACCAATGCCCATCCAAAGTCAAGTGCTGCTTGAAACAGTGTGTATGCATCCTTAGCATTTAAACCAAGATCAACCTGGGTGTCGAGCTGCACAACAATTCAATTGCATTAGTAACAAATATAACAATTATTTTGTGTATATAATTTAACTGAACACAAAACTGTCTCTTTTCTTAATTTGCACTCACACAAGGGTATGGCTTTGCAAATAATCGGGCAGGAGAATCACTGTTTCTATCTTTTTCAATCACATTGAGAATGAAAGACCATGCATTTAGTACAATAGCTGAAATATGGCACTTTTCTTTTAAGCTCACCATCTCAGCACGTGTAACTTACAACAAGAATGCCTTTTTGAACACAATCTCATTCCTGTTAACATGCAATACAATTAGTTGTACCATGCAATCAGAAAAAGGATGTTGTGATTTCAATTTCTTTTCAAACCAACTTCATTGTGTCTTACACAAAATAACATGACCAATAACATCCATTATAACTACAATCACTTACCTATCAGCCTTCTTGTTTATAAATAACCATGCAACTGCAGCACGTTCATTAGCATTGAGATCTTCAAGAGGATCGATAACCCTTTTTAAGTAGGGTGATTTCAATGTTGCAGCTGCTCTTTGAATTCTCTTTTCTTCTTGCACCTTTGCTATTGCATCTGATGCCTGTACATACTACGATTTTCATCAAATTATATTGACACAATTTTAATGTAAGATGACCATACCACATTTTCAATATGTTGCTCATAATAATTTTACCTCTTCTTCATGCAAGTTGTCTGCATTATTATACACCTCGACTGCATCTTTACTCATCTCTTGTTGCACATAAAACATCACTTCAGTGTTTTTCACAATAAATTAACTCTTAATTAATTTATAAAAGAAAACTTTATTTCTTCTATTATTACCTCTCTTTCTTTCTCAAATGGATGAATCTCCATATCTGCTTCATGCAAATTGTCTGCATTATTATCTACTTCCAATGCATCTTTACTCATCTCTTGTTGTACGTAAAACATCACTTCAGTGTTTTTCACAATAAATTAACTAATAATTAAATTATATAAAAAAAAACTTTATCACACTCTATTATTACCTCTGTTTCTTTCTCAAAGGGATGAAACTCCAATATAGCAGCCTCTCTTGTATTCTCTTCCGCAACCGTGTTAACACCGCTGCCCGTAGCTTCATATCCATTTTCTTGAGTCAGTCCTAGACTGAAGTTGGGCTTGTCATATGATAATCCCAAAATACTTAACAAACAACAAATATAGCAGTTATTGAAGAAGCAGATAGAAAGATATGTAGATATTATACGAATCTGGTATAACGTGTAAACTGTCCGCTGCTCTCCCTGGAGGAGGAGAGCAGCGGCAACCCTACTCTCTATCTTTACGCCTCTGCGTCTCTAAGCCTCTCTCGATTGTTAGGGTTCCCGTAAGTTAGCCTCCTTTTATAGGAGAAGTTGGCTAACTTACGGGTTACAAGGAAGCCCACGGGCTGATACACATTTGTGGCCCGTATTACACGATTAATTAATAACTACACAAATACAAAGATAACTAACTAGATTGAACACCATAAAATATTCCCAACAATCTCCCCCTTGGTGATCAATCGTGTTGAATCAGCATTGCAGCGCAGATATCTTTGTCTTTGTTGTTATTGAGCTTCCTTTGTCTTTGAACTTGACTTCTGAGGAAGGCTATCTGAAGAAATCCTTGCAATCTCCCCTTTGATGTCTTCTTGACAATTTGATCTTTGATGTCGGGGGTTGAGGACCTTCAGTATCTTGCATGTAGTCCTTGCCTTCCAGAAGTTGCTCTTGATCAGCTTGGATGAAGTCCGGTGACGCCTCTAGAATGAATGTTCTTTGGAGAATAGGAGACGCCCATGGAATTCATCTTCAGGACAGGAGTATTTGACCTCTGTCTCCTCCACAATGTAGTCTTTTTGACTATTTGGAATGAATGCATTTGAGGAGAACTTGTCGGTGGCACAGCGGAACATAATGATGGTTGATTTGTGAGTGTAGCTGACCATTTGATTTGAGTTGCGGAGATAGTAGAGAGGGTGTTGAATTTTGTGATGGAGGAGTGAAGTGTCCCAGAATGATTTGTTCAGTGTTAACAGCATGTGGACCACTCTCCCCCTCATGACGATCCGATGAATCGGGACGTCATGCTTTTATTCTTTTATTCTGCGGAAATAAAAACATGAAAAACAAGCAGAATCTAAAAAAGATAACGTAGCCCCCCGGGGTCGTGAAGACGCCCGTTATCATCACTATAGAGATAAACTCTAAAGCAATGGCCTGAAAATGTTGGTGATTCTTATGTTGCAACAGCAGGACTTCCTTCCAATTATTGGTCTACATCTGTATTAGATGAGCCCTATGGAAGTTCTCGCAAGTCTTGAAGACTAGCGACTGACTCTAAAATGTGTCTGTGTCCTAGAAAATTTCAAAACATTTGGGAAGTGAGTAACTAGACACGACGTGATCAATGAAAATTCAGTGGCATGGGGCTGAGGCCACTGTAGTCAGTATTACTTGCCTCGGAAGGAGACAGTAATGAGAGATGCGGTTCCCCGTGAACTATGATTAAACACCTGTCTGTTGGGAGACAAGTGAGTGGTCTAGGGTAGGGTTGTGCATGCGCCGTTTGGACAAAATGCAGCGACTTCTACCCGGGATCTGAATAAATTCAGTCCTGAACCTATGGGGATAGTCCAGAGTATTTTAGTGGCTAGGAGCAAATGGTCAATTCATGAAAAACAAGCAGAATCACTCGAGCCTTCTGCTTCCTAATGCTCATAATGTTCACTCACTCACTCGCTCACTTACGCACTTACGCTCGGCTTTGTCCCTTGGGTAGGCTTAGTTGGGTTTACTAAGCCATAGGGACATGTTCTCTCATTACTTTCTCATTTTCTCTCTGTACTCCCCCTCAACTGGAGCACTCGGTATGCTTTGTCATTGTTAGGCACCGGGAAGGATAACATTGATCACTCCCCCTAGAATGTTGCATCCGTTGAGAGATTCCTTGCTTTGTCGGTGTAAGGCGCCAGGAGGAGAAAACTAAAACTCCCCCTCAGAATGTGCAAGGTTTGATTGCTCACAGCTTGTCATACCCGCCATGTGTGTGGAGCAATCTAAACATGTACCACACATGACGGTTTCCCTGAGCTCACCATGTAGAATTTCAGCATATTGAAGATGACATAATGTTGATGAGTCAGGGGAGGCTTCAGCAGTTGATTGTTGATTGTTGTAAGATGACCGTTGACGCGAGGTTGATTGAATTATCTACGATTTTCAGACCTTTACATTGAAGTTTAGAAAATGTTTGACCTCAGGGTTGACTTTGAAAGAATTTGAACAGATTTGCCTATGTTTTGACCTGGACATAGGTGATTTACAATGTTTGTCGGAAAACTCACGTTTTGACCCTCAAAGACTGCGAGTGAGGGCGCGTGAGTATGGGTTCTGGGGCACAGCCCCAGAATTAATGTAGATCTTTGCGTTAGCTTTCCAACAAAAAACAGTTTGCTCAAATCGGATCACCGAGTCAAAAGTTATGGCCAAAACAGTGCGGTGTCGCAGAAAATCTCAAATATTGAGTTTTTGAGGAAAATCTTCGAGGTTGAGGTTCTCGATGTTGAATTTCAAGAGCAGGTGAATTTAAACAAAATTCTAAGGCAAAAACTCGAAATCCAAATCTGGAGATTTTAATTTCGAGTTTGCCTTGAAGAGTAATGACGAAATCCACCTGCAAAACAGACCTCAGAATAACGAAATCTTCAGAATTTCAAAATGTTTGGAACCTCGAAAACTTTGGAGTTTCGAAAAATCTCACAATCTCGAAAACTTGTTGTTTGAAAAACATCAGAACATCGAAAACTCCTGAAACATTTATATAAGCAGGGAATCATTCAGAGATCCTTATCCTTATAATGTAAAGCTTCGATGAACTGCAAAGGATGTCAAGATTCGAATTATGAGTTCCAAGAAACTGCAAACTTTGAAAGATTCAAAACATCGAGAAATTCCGAAAATTCTGAATTTTTTTGAAATGTCGAAATCCAAAACATCGAGTTCCTAAAACTCGAAATAAATTCCAAAACTCGCAATTCCAAAACTCTCAATTTTTTTTTAAAAACTCGAGGTTTAAAACTCGAGTTCATGACCGCGAGTTTACAAACTCGAGTTCATGACCGAGAGTTTACAAACTCGAGTTCATGACCGCGAGTTTACAAACTCGAGTTCATGACCGCGAGTTTACAAACTCGAGTTCATGACCGCGAGTTTACAAACTCGAGTTCATGACCGCGAGTTTACAAACTCGAGTTCATGACCGCGAGTTTACAAACTCGAGTTCATGACCGCGAGTTTACAAACTCGAGGTCATGACCGCGAGTTTACAAACTCGAGTCCATGAACGCGAGTTTACAAACTCGAGTCCATGACCGCGAGTTTACAAACTCGAGTCCATGACCGCGAGTTTACAAACTCGAGTTCATGACCGCGAGTTTACAAACTCGAGGTCATGACCGCGAGTTTACAAACTCGAGTCCATGAACGCGAGTTTACAAAGTCGAGTTCATGACCGCGAGTTTACAAACTCTCGGTTTTAAAAACTGTCGAATTTTGAGAATCTGAAAACTGTTCTGAATAGCCCTGAAGGTCGCGATCCCTCCTGTATCTGTTCCAAGTCAAAATCGTTTCTGCAGGCATATAAAAGCATAAACTCGAGTTTTCAATGAGAGTTTTTCGAAAATGAAAATTTGCAGAAAACGAAAAAGAAGATATGTTGTCAATCAATGAAGATATCAATAAGATGACAAAATGTCTCACAAACCATTCACCACCATTCGTGCAGCTTATCATTGCTTTGGCAACTTTGGTTGGAGTAATTTTTTCCTTTGCACCAGATAAAGCCCTCCACTCATCTGCCAGAGCACTTTTCTCTTTTTTCAGTTTCTTCACTACAATTTCTTCTCCTTGAGGGAATCCTAGTGCATTCTCAACATCCTTGTATGTCACATGAAGTTTGTCACCATTCAGCTTTAGTGTGCAACTCCTTGGGTCAAAGTTATCTACAATCCCATATCCAAGTCTTAAAGGCAAATCTTGGATATGTAGCTGCAACATTGCTCCAAAACCTATATTAATGACCTCTTCTCTTTGCTTGTCATTAAACTTTGATATTGCATTGACAATCACATTTGGTGATGATCTGTTGTACAAACTTGTAGATTCTTCCTTGATCTCCTCATAATCACCTTTCTTGTGTTGCTCCTTTCTTTGATGTTTAACTGCACCACCTACATTTTTTAAAGACTTAGGAGGACTTTCAAAAGCTTCATCACTGTCACTCATCGTATTTTTTGTCTTCGACTGTTCATCATCATTTTGGGATTTTTCTGCATGATCATCACTTTTTGACTGCATCATGCTCCTAGTCCTCCTCCTCATGGTCAGTGATAGTCTTTCACTATCTTTCACACCTACATGGTTACCATTACACATTTATATCGGCACATAACAAACTGAATTTATGAGATTAAAATTCACAAAGTTAAACTTGAATTTGTCTTCTTACCTTTGCCTCTCACTTCGTATCTTTGTGCATCATCATGCTGCATATTCATCATAGGAGCGTCTCTTCCTAATTAATATAATAGAACAATTAAAATTATACTTACACATTTACAAATGAATCTTATACGTAAAAAGTTAGTTTTTTAACCTTTGCTCTATTTCGTCTTCCCTTTGCCCTTTTTGTTTTGTTGCAAGTTGCTTGTGGATGCGCCTTCTTGCTGTCTTTTTTTCCTAACACTTAATGCTCGTTTTGATTTTCTATTATATGTACATGAAACTTTGGAGCTAGTCACATACGAAAACCACAATTTAACTGCTTCAAAATGTAAGCAATACTACATGGCTCACAACCACAATTCATAATCTAACTATTATGAAAACCGTAATAACTTGCTTGGTTAAATGCATTTAAATATGCATTTATATCACTCACAAGCACAAGTCATATTCATAAAAAAACTGCATATCGTCTCTTAAACTTATGCATCTTACACATAATTATTCATCACCAAATTCCTTTACATTCCAACTACAATAACCACAATTACTACATCTTACACTTCCACATATTGCATCTATTTTTTGTCGATACTGAACCACTAATATGCATCACACTGTTGTCACACTTTCAATTTCACTTAAATATGAATGCATCCTGTAGCATATAATTATACATCTATGTGAATAACAAGAACAAGACAAACTCATTACAAATACTCATCTACAAAAAGTGGCCTACTGCATCTTCACAATAATACTAATGCATAAAACATCCTTCTTAAATTTGAAGTGCAATAAACAAAACAAATGTTGCACCGAAAGTTGTATGTTAAACCAAATAGGTTTCGTTTTCTTTTTAAAATAACAATCATGCATATAAATTTCAGAATTTAGCATGCTATTTCTAAAACACTTGTACTTCTTATACATGCATTTAATAAGAAGCCAAACACTTGCTTCATTAAATGCATCTTGTGCCATATAAAAGTGCATCTATATAACTCACAAGCACAAGTCATATTCATAAAAAAACAGCATATTGTCTCTTAAACTTATGCATCTTACACATATTAATTATGCATTCTCAAATTTTTTTGAATTCCAACTACAATAACCACAACTACTGCATCTTACACTTCCACATATTGCATCTAATTTATGTGAATATTGAACCACTAATATGCATCACACTATTGTCACACTTTCATTTGCAGTTAACTTTTAATGCATCTTGTAGCATATAATTATGCATCTATGTGAATCACAAACACAAGACAAATTAATTACAATAATTCATCTCAGAAGACTGACCTTCTGCACCTTGACATTATTATTAATGCAAAGTGCAATTAGCACAACTTTCATCTAATGCCTCTTACAACTACACATGCTGCACCGAGACTTTTTAAAATCACAATCATGTTGCATATAAACAACTTTCATCTAATTTTGTTTGAAATCTATTTTCAGCTAAAATTACAACAATACAATGTATATCCTCATCTAATCACAGATTATTCATCATAAAACTATTGCATCTTACTTCACTTTAAACTTCCAATCAAACTAACACAAACCATGCATCTTAAAAAAATTACTACTGCATCTTAAAACAATTTCACATGCCAATTGCAATTACCGAACTCCCTGCATCATACAACTACAACTCTTGCATGAAGCCTTTCAATGTATATATAATTGATCTACATTCCTCATTTTCAATCTTGTTGCACCTAACTTCATTCACACTAGCATGTAAAAAACCTTCTACCTCTAACTTCGTATTGAATGAAAATCATGCATTATTGATATGACAGTGTTTCATGTCCTAAGCAAAACATTTGCATCAAATAACCATGACATACATTAATCTGACATTATGCATAAAACATTGATCAATAACGGAGTTTTACAACTATATCCGACTCTATATTGCAATTCCAACTTGTAATAAGCCATTATTTATTACACATTTGTTAGTAAGATGCAGTTAAGTATTCGAAGTAAACATGCAACCATATCGAACAGACCAAGGAGTAACACATGTACCTTCTTCTTCAAGTTCGTTTTCGATCTCACGCAACAGGTGTTCCATTTGCAGCGAAGCCATGGCCTCCTATCGTCACTCGCCTTGCCTTCGCTAAACTCGGATTAGGTGGAAACATTGACAAATTCCTTGCTTCAGATTCAAAATTCGATGGTAGTTGCAGAGGAAGAAGAAGAGTGTTTTCAGTTGTTGCTAATCGTGGCTTTGAATCGTGAAACCAGGGTTTGCCAAACTTAATCGACAGATTGATTTTCGCGGCTTCCTTTTTTGTTTGGGAAATGACATCCCTAACCTCCACAATTAAATGCGCGTGTAGAAGTGGTTGGTTACATTTTTAATTCCCTGTGTGAGTCCATAATTTAATGATGCATCCCAATCTGAAAGCTGTCCGTTTCCTTCAATCCAACGGCTGACATTAGTTTGCAGTTTGCACTGGAAGCCTAGTTAGCATGGGATCTCCTCCCTATATATATATATATATATATATATATATATATATATATATATATATATATATATATATATATATATATATATAGAGAGAGAGAGAGAGAGAGAGAGAGAGAGAGAAAAGATCATGTGAGAAGTCCCCCTTAAGCTGAGAAGCTGCGAAGTCTAACTTATAAGCTAAAAACACGAACTTTTAACCAATAAATCATAACTTATAGACCCCCTCCAAAAAAATTACAAAAATGCCACCGCGTCAAAATAACTCCAGAAACCTGGAATTTTTTTTTGACGCGGTGGCATTTTCGTAATTATTTTTGAGAGGGTCTATAAGTTATTATTTATTGGTTAAAAGTTCGTGTTTTTTGTTTATAAGTTAGACTTCGCAGCTTCTCAGCCTAAGGGCACTTCTCACCTGATCCGCTCCCTATATATATATATATATATATATATATATATATATATATATATATTAGGCATTGTAACTTCTAATATACAAGATTTAACTAGTAAGTGAATATTAATAACTTTATCACAATAGCAAATTGTTCCAAATTAAAAAAGTAAAATGCAGTCAAACAACAATAACTTACAAGCCTAACAAGATGCAGTCAAACAGAGAAATGATGTGTGTTCTACAAGCCTATCAAGTAGAACAATCTTTAGTCCACAAACTCTCTTTTGTATTCTTTGGAGGAATGATGTGTGTTCTACCGAACTTGTACATTTTGTTCTAACATTCCGTTGTCATTTTAATCAGCCGGCTCATACATGCGTTTATCATATGCAAAGATAAAAAGTAAATCATAATTTTATCAATACACTAATAGAGTCAAAATAAAACCTTTAAAGCTAAATATTCAACTTTTAACTCACATTTGCTGAAAACCTCAAAGTGAGTCAAAACAATAACAAAGCTTATTATAGTCATTAGCTGATAGAAGAAACCAATAACAAACTATAACTTTTAAAAAATGTATAACTATTAAGTGATTTGTTTTTTCACCTTTTCACATTAACATTATCATTCTAATTGGCTAGCTCAAACCTGTTTTAGGCCAAAAGTAAAGAAATAATCATAACTTTTAATAAAATAATCATAACTTTTAATAAAATATTTGTAACTTTTAACATAACTAGACACACTCCACCTATAACTGTTAATCCTTACCAATAATTATCAATATAGAGAAGTTTGAAACAGCAAATGCATCAACTCACACTTTCTCCCGTTGCTCTATAAACGTATTAAAATAAATATATATGTTATGGTAAGTGTTTGCAGTCTACAATTATATTTAGAGATGTTGAAGAAAAACACTACTTTTACTCAAATTACTATAACTTGTAAATAAAAAAATGTACCTTTTAAACCCAAAGGCTTAACTTTTGCTTGAACTCTCAAGACCTCTAAAATAATTAAACACTCTTTCAAGTTAACATAAATTAGTAAAGCCAGAATCGTAACTTACAGAAAGAAAGTCATAACTTATAGTCTCAATATAAATCTAACAGAATTTAGAGGCTACAGAACTACAAGTTTCGATAAAATAGAGAATTGTGAGATTACTAGGAAAACAATGAGTTGCCTCTGCCCAATAAAATAGAGAACTGTGAGATTACTAGGAAAGCAATAACAATTTAGAGGCTCATATTTTCCTTGTCTTCAAAGAAGGTTTAAGTAAAAAAGATCTTTTAGCAGCACACTCACACAGTTAGCTAGTACTAATACTGAACATTCTAGGATCGTGAACACGTGTAGTAAACTAATGCTCATTGAGACAAAATATCAAGCACTTAGTGTGATTGAGAAAGTGATGATGGCATTGAATAGAAAGGTACAGGAAAACACAATATCAATCGATAAAATAATGGCAGAAAGTGAAAGATGAGAGCATTATCAAATCAAAGCTTTCAAAATATTATAGGAACCACACACTATTGATTGAAGTGTAAATTGCATACAATTCTACACCAGAAATTCAATAAAATTGAAAAAACCACAAATTGAAGGTAAATAACACACAACTTCAAAGAGTGCTCTGAAACAGCCACATCAAAGCTTGAAAGCCGATAACAAAATCCTATACAGTAACATAATTCAAAACTCTGTTTTTAGACTGGAAAAATATTCCTAAAATATGTGCTCGATCCACACTCATAGGCGTTTATTGGTGAGAAATTTTGTTAAAATTGACCTCTAATTTTCGATTTCATATTTGATCTATAGGGAGAATTTTTTACCAGAATGATAACCGTGTGTGTCTGTGCGATGGAAAAACAGACTAACGGAGTCGCCAATGGAGAAATTTTATATTTCAGATTCTCACTTATTGAATTTCAGGAAATCGTCGTCAAAACTCTCCATCGGGCTAAGAGGGCGCAGAAATACAACCGAATTCAGCTATCTTCGTTTGTAACAGACCTGCTTAGATGCGCTCCTCCAACTTTGATCAACGAAGAATTGCGAAAGTAGAAATTTCCAGCAATTGGCTAACAATCTTCTTCTTTTTTGTAGTTGATAGGAGAGAAGAATGTTATGAGAGCAGATAATCCGATCGGAGAGAAAGTAAGATTAGGAAGGAAGGAAAACAGTAAGATCTTATCTAATAGATCGCTTTTAATTGGGCCCTTGATTAACTTTTAATCGGATGGTCCTAATTGCTTCTCACTTTTCAGCCGTATGAGGCTTCTCACCAGATCCATTCTCTCTCTCTCTCTCTCTCTCTCTCTCTCTCTCTCTATATATATATATATATATATATATATATATATATATATATAACGTGAGAACGTCAGAACACTCACATTTCAATCACAGTGGTGCACAATGGAGTTCTTCTGTTGCACATTTTCAATTTGCTCGAGTTAAGCACATTTAAATAAACACGGTGGCATTTTGGTAAATATTATGAAAACACGAAAAAGTGCAATATACAAGCTTCATTGTGCAACACGATGGGGTAAATGTGGTGTTCTCACGTTCTCACGTTAAGCAATGTTCTCATTTGATCTTTATATATATATATATATATATATACATATATATATATATATATACATATATATATATATATATATACATATATATATATATACATACATATATATATATATATATATATATAGAGAGAGAGAGAGAGAGAGATTTAGGATCATGTGAGAATACAATCTAAGGAGAGAAATAAGAACAATCTTATGACGTTACATTAAGTATTTATTTTAATCTTTTATAAATTTC